ATGGACTTGTCCAGCTTCCATTTTTTCAACAGTCCATTATCAGTTTTAGGGATATCAAGATGAAAGTTTGCAGAGTTGGTCAGACGTCAATATAAAGCCTGGTCTGACTCCATGAACATGCAGGCTTGCCTCAGGCTTTATCCTGGTGGCAAAGGATAATCTCTTTTGCTTCCAATGGGGTTAAGATTAAAAATTGCTCAATAAATGGACAATAGTCATATAGATCAGTATATTGGATATTGTCCTTTCCTGAATATTCTGCCATATTGAGGTTTAAGTCTCTTAATTTGGACTTTTGTCCTTATAGTAACAAATCCATTTAATGTTGTGAAAAAAAAAAATTATTTGAAAATTTCTGCGAGAATTTCACAGGCTTTGTTTTTGTTGTGATATATTCTTTTTTGAAGGATTAAAGGATTATGGATAATCTAATATTTGCATGATTTTAATCTAAAGATATTTATAATCCCAAATCCATTGTTAAAGTTCTCGCAATAGTATGTAAGAAAATGCCTTAGTAGGCATGATATTGTTTTATTAACATTTCGTAAGATACTTCTTATAAGATAGTGAAATTTTGCTTATGAATTAAGCTACTGAAAAATGAGATATTGCTTACAAAAAAGTGAAAAATTGCTTATAAGTTAGGTCTGTTTGTTTGGTTTTATGATGCACCAAGACAGAATAGGTCATATTATTATTTAAGATACTGGTAGGTCTTCATCCTTAAGTTATGGTTGAAAATCCAACGGATATTGTGACATCCTTATTTTATACCTGGAAATCCAATTGATTTGTGACCCTATCAAACCCATCTTACAGTGACAAATTTATCTGACACGTTTTACCTTTAACTGAAAAGAAAAAAGCAATTATTATTTGCGATGACGTCAAAGTAAATCATGAATTTTCATGATAATTGATAAATCATGTTTATAATGTATGTCACACATGATTTTATTCCTGCTGGAATATTTGTTTCACTAAGGTTTTCTAGTGTCCGGCGACGTGGTCCTCTTGTATTCTAATCACCTTTACAACCAAACTTCATATTTTCCCATAATTTACATAATGATATACTTGAGAATACACTCCTTATTGGGACAACAAAACTGGAGCTAAAATATCCTTACCTCATAAATTAGGTTTATGAATGGGTTCTTAAAATATTTTCCTGCCTGTGTGAAAAAGGGTGAAGAGGTCAACAGATTTGAGTTTACATTTTAAATAAAGGTCAGTTTTATGAGAGTATCACAGTGATATTATTGGTCCCTCTAGTATGTTGCAATTGGCTTCAGAAAGAACCATTGTGCCAAGCATCAAAATGACAGCAAAAACCACTTTTATGAAATATGCAAAGATACCTTTGCAAGGCTCCAAAGAAACTCTTTAAGGGAAAAATGTATTGCAAAGTAATGGTAAGCCCAACCAGAAACTTTAAGTGGCTTCAGTTATAATGTAAATAATTAAGTTGTTGGTCTGACTTCCTTCAAAAACATTGTGTTTTCATGTTTAAAGGTCAAAATCATTATACAATCAAGATCAAGGTGTGGGGAATGCCAGAAATAAAAACAAGAGAAGAGAGTCCTAATTCATTGTAATATCTGAATAGAATTAGGTCACAGAAAAAAACAGCCTATGGTGAATGAAAACTTTAAGAAGATTACGGACCTCTCCTATTGAAAAACAACTTATGGATTAGTACCTCAAAAATGTTGTTTTGGCCACTGGTCAGTAAGATTTAACCCATTTGGACAATGCACACTTGTGTTCTCATAGCATGTTTTAAGTAGGTCTTTAAACTTTTAAGGGGACAAAACAATTTTTGCTGTTTATACAGGAGAAAGACATGACACCTGATGAAATCGTAGTCAGTAATCTGATTATGAATATGTGATATTGACGTAACATAGGTTGATAACTTGTTTATTTATTTAGATATTTTATTCAAAATCACTTGACTGTACGTTTTTGCATGGTAGTGACGATTTTTCTGTAAAATATTAAAAGTCAATAAATAAGTTGTTGTCTCTGTTAAACTGCAATGCCCCTAGTAATAAAACTACTTGAAGACTTTAAATATGGTAAATTGTTGAAAGGTTCACAAAGGGTCAGCCATTTTTTAGCTTTGGTCTTTAAAAAATTTGCAGAATTCTTGTGTTAGTTTGCTATTTTATTTTATTTCTTTTTACTGAATTTTTAGACCCTCGAAAAATACAGGCAATGCTACTGTTGTAAAATTGAAAAATTGCAAAATAAAGAGAAAACATCAAAGCTAGCTGGATAGTATTTTTAATGGCATAATAAAGAGTCTTCTAAAAATAGAACACAGTTTGGTGTCAGAAGTACTTCAAGAAGGTGGTGTCCGTCTTGTATTGTAGTAGATATACTTTTATTGTCTCCAGCAAATTTACAATAAACTTACAAATTGGTCCCAAAATGTCGAGAGGTTCTTATACATTCATTATATGAATAGCAGGAAAAGTCTCAATTGTTCTTTTTCCCACGATTATTCTTAATGAAAAAAAATGTCGAAGTTTTTAAATATTTGTTACATAATCATGAAGTTATTCAAGGTTAGATGCTTGTTTTGATTAAGATGAAGTATGTCAAGAGGATTGCATATACACAATGGAATAATCCCGGATTTCTGTAAACTTTCTAAATTTTCTTTTCTCCACTTAACCTGGTCCAACTTCTCCTCATTCCTAGTGAATGCTTATTGATAGATATATAAAATATTTCGAGACAGATTTAATTACATTATGTTATTAATATTTTTAAGATTAGAATATTTAATTTTGCTTTATGAAATTTGACAAGTAATTACCTTATAAGGCAATATCTGGTGCATGCCGTCTTATTTATAGACTTATCCTTTATAAAAAAATTAAACGCTTCTTTTCAAAATATGGCATTGAAATTTAATAATTTGGATCATTAAAATAAATGGAAACTTTACGTAATAATTGTAATGGAGTGCACAATGATTAGTCATAGCCAAAGTATTTTATCTGTGTGGTATGAGATAAAGATAATATATATCAATCTTTTCTTTTCTTTTTTTTCTTGAGGGAAAAATATTTTCAAGGTTGTTTTAAAATATTTCCTTTCAAATTGCAAAAATATTGTTTCTTAACCCACCTACTATCTATAATTATGTTTGCGCAATTCTTTTGACAAGATCTTAAGCAGTTTTAATTCTTTTCAAAAGTACAAATATCTTTATCCCCACCCTTTACAAGAAAATTGCCCCGATATATGTTTTGATAAAAATCTTCAGTGTACATCTTTAAATATATATATTTTGTTATAAAAAAACAATTTTACTTTAATTTTTGAAAAGGTCACACGTTTTGATAAACTTAGTTTCATTCAATTTAAATGCAAAACTCTTTTAACACAAGTATATCTGTATACTTCATCTCTTTAAATTGGACAGCTCTGATCATTAGTGGTTTATTTAAAGTAACGTGCTCTGATTGGTCGAGATAAGCCTGTCAAGCTGTCATGTGACACAATGAGAATTTTACTACTTACCTGTGAACTACTCCAGTTAGTAAACGTGTTTACATCAATAAGTTGTTAATGTCCTATGTGGATGTATTTAATAGTAAAAATTGAAACAGTTTGTTTTAAAATGGATAAATTTGTGATTAAATATAATATTATTTAATTTCACAAAATATTGACATATTTATAAATCTGGATTAAATTTTTGTGTGTTATTTCAAATTGATATAAAAATATACAAAAATGCTGTTGGATGTACAAACAACACAAGGTAAATTGAATTTGTAATTTATTAAATTAGTTTTCAATTGAATTTGATGATTATTATATAATAATTTTAATTGAATTAACTTTAATTCAATTGCAAAAGTAAAAAAACAACACTTAAATACTGTTTAATAAGGACATTATATAAAAAGAAAATATTAGGTATATATATCAATGGGTCATTACAAAAAATATAATTATTAAATGCTTTTGTAAACTTTGATTTTAAATTGAAAAATGTTGCAAGTTTATTAAAAAGTTTGTAGTTTGCTTGACAGAATATGAAATTTGGACTAAAAATTGAAAACGTTAGCGGGCAATTATGATGTATTGTTTATCTATTCTCAAAATTTTTACAATTACTTTTAAAATTCATTGAACTGTGAAATTGTAAATTTGTGTTTTTCTACCCCTATTTAGGAACTAATTGTTTAAAACCTATGCGCTAGACATGTAAATTCCACGTAGCTTTTGTTATCCATGTTATCAGATAAAATATAGTATTAGTCAAAATAGCAGTCAGGTGATGACTAACTCCATGTTTTGATGATTATGGGCCCCTTAACAATTTTATGACTATGTCTTAAAATTCTTTATCTTATTGTTTTAGTTGTTGTTGAAGAGTAACACTTTGAGTTCTTATTTGTTCAACTTGTACTCAGATGTCAAAAACTGATCCTATTTTAACGCAGCTTAAAATACTGCATAACTTGAGATTATGAAAAACAAAAATGTAGCGTTTATATAAAAGATTAAAAGATAGTGTAAAAAAATTATAATCCTATTTAAAGTACATCAAGATAAAAAGATGCTAAAAAAAGCAAAAATCTAATAATATATCTAATATTAATGGAAATAGCAAGATGCCTATATGATTTAATAATAGTAGTTTAAATAATAGTAACAATTAAAATTTTCATTCTCTCTTCATTGACTTTTGCCCTCTAATTGCGATTAATAATGTTTGTTTGACACTAATTAAATTACCAGAAATAAACTTAAAACATGTGCAAATTAGGAAATAAATTACAGAAATGCCCTTAATAGATTTAATTATAATGACAGTTTTATCTTGTATGTCTGAAAATGAATTTCTCCTGTTTTAATTTGAACAAAATTGGTTGTAAGACATTACGAAATATAAATTAGTATTCGCAAGAATTGCCAGCTATGATGAAAGTGTATCAAATTTCAATTAGCTATTTATTGTTTTCTTTCAGGCCACGAGTTGCCTTACGCAATCAAGTTGAATCAGATCAGAGACTTTGGGAAAAGGACCGAAGACAACTTGACCGAGCTGGAGATTGAACGCATCATTAAAGAGATGCAGGCCAACAACCGAAAATACGAATTCTTTCTCAAACACAAAAAGTCGCAGAAAAGACACAGTCTCGGTGAGTAATGATACAAAGTTATTTTTTCAGCGTCGTTTTCCGTTTTTCAAAGTAGTCGTCATTGTGGTTCAACATTGCTGTTGCGCTTGAATCTGCTCCAAAGTCCCTCCACTGTAAATTCACAGATATTTCAATAGCTAGCCTTCAAACTGCTGCAAATTTGTTGATAAAGTCACTGATAAACAAGCCTACAAAGTTTGAATTTATTTTGGGCTTTTAACACTTGAATTTCCTGATAAATGGTATATACTTCAGATATTGAACAACCATTGACCGAATGATACTTTGACCTAAGACTAATGGAATATGGTATTTATTTTGTCAACCTAGATATTGGTATATCAGTGACTATAATTGTATATTGACGAAGGATTCTACTCCTGGGATGTTATTAATTTAGACCATAGATTGTATGCATATTTTGAAACAGGTCGGACAAAGAACCGGTCATTTGCTATGCATAGTTTTCTATTGTGCTAAAGAGCAATAGTTTAATAATAAGATGTCAAAGTGTTTGAAGGTGATAATGTGTTATTGAGAAAGCTAATGATTGTGCTAAAATGATAACTTCTATTTAAACAGTCGTGATGAAACTTGTTTGTCACAAGTGCATTCCGTTATGACCTTTATTTGGGGTCAGAGGTGTGAGAACTGGCTGGGCTGGTCTTTTATTGTCTCCTCTTAGTACTTAACCACCTTTTGTACTATACATTTCACTTTGCCTTGTGAAATTCTCCACTTATATCATATATTGTAATGTATTGCAGTGGACAATAGTCTGTTTTTCGACTTAGTTGCACAAACTTGAAATCCAGGTGCTAAGACTATAATAAAATAACAATCCTTAATTCGCTTTCCAGTCAAAACAAGACTGTTTTTGGTCAGTTTTTACTGGTTTTAGCCGAGTGTAGAAGATTATGATTCTGTAACTAACTGTAATATGTTTACGACATAATCAAGCGATATTTTTTTGCTATTTTAAGCTAAGGTCTAGATTTGGATACACGAATAACCAAAATAAGGTAGTCAGATGCATTAATGTCCATATATTATTTTTTTGCTATCTGAAGGAAAAATGACATGCAGATGTTATATGATAAAACAATATTTTTTGTTCAATCTTGTTAATAAAAACACCCAAAACTTGATTGTTATAGCTGTTATTATAAATATTAAGGCTAGGGAAAAGTTTCACCATTCAGTTTTTTTTTTAAATATATACTTGTTATATATTTTAGATCGGATAAATATCACCATGACTAATTACTAAAAAATTACGACAGAAAACACGAAACATACATATTAACTGAACAATAACATGTGTAGTTTAATTACATTTTTTTGCATGAAAAGATCGAGACAGGAAAGAATGCAGTTTATATAGTATACTTATTCAGCCATACTTCCTTTTGTGTGTGGCTATTCTATGTACATGAGCTACTATAATTATTAATGACTTTTGAAACTAATGCATATTTGGTTGTTACTGATGTAGTGCATTTTTGTGCATTTTAAGACTTTGTTTTTGCGTAAAATATTTTTGCTGCATGCGTAACCGCTTTCGGTGGGTTTATCCGTGTGTGATAATGGAGCGTCATAAATCACTGAAATCGTAAACGCATGAAATTCCTCGCAATTAATTACAGTTGCGACAGTAAAATATATGCGGTAAATGAGCGTTTCTTAATATATCTTTGCATGTTGTTTTGCAAAATAACGAAGGGGGATATACAGTTATTTGATTGTATAAATGTAATTTCTCGTTTCTTTTACTAGCACCGAAAAATATTCTTTTTGTAATTGTGCTCTATGCTTTGAAGTCATCAATGCTTTATATATATTACATTAGAACATCAATAGTTCAGTAACGTAAACAAATATTAATTTTAACGGTCAAACAAATATTTGTCCAGCTTGTCGTTAAAACTATGTTAAAGGTACATTCTTTGGACTTCTTAAATTAAATGGTCATTATTCATAACATTCATTTATAAACCGTAACATTATTTGTACAAAAAGTTTAACTGTAGGAGTAATCATTCAACTATTTGTCACCTAAGGCAAACCATTTTCATAAAATTATTACGAGTTTTAAAACTTAATCGTCATTTGACAAGAGGAAGTTAGGCGTACCTACGCTTAAAACTTTAATAAATTCAACAAAACGTTTAAAATTGGCGAAGAAAAACTGTTTGTAACACAAGTGCAAAAATTCTCTAACATCCTCTGCTTACTTGCTTTTGAGTAAATTTACGTTTAACTTAATGATGTTATCAAATTTCGTTCTTTACGTCATGTTACAAAAATATAATTAGAAATAATTATTTCAATTTTTAGAAAACGGTGTCCTGACAACCCTATGTCACCTTGACAGCTCTAGCCTGGAGAGAAAAAAAATTGAATAAATAATTATTTTGATGAGGTTGAAGCACAGCAGATGTCTAAAGTTACAAGAAATAGTATATCCTGAAGGGTTAATTTACTATTGTTGTAAAACTGTAATAAAATCGTTAGTTGTCGTACATTTTTCGTCCTCCAGATGCGCACCTGTCAACAGATTTTGCGTAAGAAATGCAGTGAACATGTTCTGTGAAGTTTGATAAAAATCTTATATCTCTTCAGAACTGCGAAACAAAACATTTGGTATCTCATTTTTTTCCCAGCCTATTTCTTCTATAAGGTACCTGTAATTACTAAGGCAGCCATATTGTTGTGACGTAAAAAGAAATTTTTGTACAAGTTATATTTGTTAAAAAACAATTTTTTTTAAGATTGTTTTTAAAGTTTCTGCAAAATATCTAAAAATATTCGAATGAAAATTCTTTTAGCAGAGTAGAAATATAAGAGCATCTTAATTGTATATTTTGATTAAATTTGCAGTCACGATCTTGTTAGTAATGCAACTTAAAGTTTAGAGCCAATTTCAACTCTGTGGTTAGATTACATTATATAAAAAAAGTTTCATTTTAAAATTGAGGCTAAACTTTCCAACTGTACTTACATGTCATGACAGGAAAATGAAGTAACTTGAAGCAATTGGCTGAGGTCAAATTAAGTGTAAAATTTAGGTTGTCAGGTGTTAATTTAGTCTGGGGTCTATGTAATATTATGTCTATATGTTACGAGTAATTAAAATCTATTGTGTCCTTACACAGTCTCGAGTTTTGTAGATTGAATAGCCTGATTTCCATCTGAACGATTTACTGATGACACCTGATAAAATCATAAGACAATTGCATTGACTCGTTTCTTTTTACGAGGGGCATTTTATTTTGTGCATTTATTCATCGTGAATTTACTTTTCTTTCAAAAATTTGTATAGTTCTATATAGATAAAATGAAAATAAAAACTCCATGGATATTGAAGAACAATATAGTCTGGAGTAAAGGTAATATTGGATAAGATTTTGCAAATTTGGTGAAAATGAATTTTGAGCAGACGACAGTTTGCCGAAATATTCTTTTGAAATTACAATATATTTTTTCTTATTATTTACAAGAAATAAGCTTGATTGAAATACTTATGAATGAAATCAGATGGTTTTAAATGTCATGATTGACTTATTTATAGCCAAAGTATGTAAAAGAAATCGGTCCAAAGTAAAATGTGATATTCCTATAATTTTGTTTAATTTTACAGTAATAATATCAATTTTGTGTATTTCATTTATAAATTGTAAAAGAGGCACTTATATGATTAAAGGCAAACCTTGAATATAATTAACATATCACTTAATTTCATGGGATTAGTTTTCGGACCGAAAAAAGTTGAAACGGTGTAGGAAATATAATAGTGAATGGTAATTTTACATTCATGAAGATTTCAGTCTCTGATATAATTATTATGTCCCAAGTAACGTAGATGATCGGTGGTTCTGTTTTAAAAAAAATGAAACTTGACACACGAAAGGTCAGTGATCCCTTTAATTTGCGGGTATCATATGAAAATTACGGTACAGATATAATTGTCCAATCATATTTTAGTGAAATATGTTTAAATTATTAGCCATTCAGGCTATTATACTGTCAATGATTTTCTAAACAGGGACTTTATCTCCGATTTCAAACCAGCGGGGCCACAAGTCAGTTCTCACAAAAGGACGGTGATTGACCTTAAGTGGCGCTCAAAATTTCTAAAGAAAAATTTGTTCATTTTAACGTTCCTTTATTTCACGGTGATTGAATTATGTGTTGTTTTGCTGATGTTGACATCTTTTTGGTGCGGCGGTACTTAAAATGAAAACAAAAATGTGAAAATCTACTAAAGTATATAATTTTTATACTAAATTAAGTAGTAATCAAAATACACATGCTGCATTATTATTGTACTTAAAAATGAAGTGCTAATATGATACATTACATATATTATGATTGGCCCAGTTTTTTCACTATGAAGGATTACATTTGAATGGCCATTTTTAGCAAGGTTGTCAGATTGCAGCATAATTGAGTAGCTGTACTAATTAACCCTTTGCAAATGGCTGCTGAAATTCTTTCATGTATTGGACAATCTGATTTATGATGGAGAAACAGAGGTTGTGCCTCATTTGCTAATGTTACTATTTTTGGTAACGCTCAGTGACAGTTGTTTCACTTTTATTCTTTGTCAGGTACACATTTCTGCGTGTATGAGCACAAAGTTACACAAGTGTACACGATCTACATGTGCTTTGACCCCCCAAGGTCATTTGTACAGTTGTTTCAGCATGCAGTTTATAATAAGAGCTGTCAAGATGCCTAAACCTCGCTGTCATTCATATCATCACATTATGTCACTTTTATTTTCCCGCCAAACCTCAAATAGATCTTAATGGAGCATTTATTACGTTTTGACTACTTCTATGCAGGTCATTCGGGGTTTTCTTAATTGTTATAAATATGTCATTTTATTTTCAGAAGTCTCTTATCAGTTCTATCTATATTGTTTGTGATTTTTGTTTCATCTCTTCAAAACATCAGCAGAAAAACAAAACCTTGACAGTAAAGAGCCACTTGACTTAAGAAACAATGAGAAAAACTACTTAAAATGCATGAAATTTAATGTATGCACAAAAACAAGTTATTTACCAAAATTTGAATTAATTTGCTATTAACCTCAAAAATGTTGAAAAATAACAACATAAGAAATGCATTTGTAATTACTTCTTTTTTTAATTCAAAACATATTTATCTAATTACAGATGAGACCTCAACTTCTAAATCATCTAAAGGAAAGAGAAAATCGCCACTTATTAATATTTTCCGGAGAAATCGTGATGATAAGAAGCCCCAGGGAAAGCTGTTCGGTCACAAACTCGCTGACGTTACAACTCCGGAAAATCTTGTCGCAAAGCCAATAAAGGAGTTGTTAACAATCCTTTTCCGAGAGGGACCATACACTGTTGGCATACTGAGAAAGTCATGTAATGCAAAAATGTGTAAGGAACTGCGTCAAAAGTTGGACGATGGCGAGGACTGTTTGACAAATGAACAATGGCCGTCACTCGTAATTGGGGCGCTCGTTAAGGTAATTATTCGGATAAGACTTATGTTCTTAAATCTTAATAAAGTAATATGCAACAGAAAAAAAATTCATAAAAATATCAATTCATATAAACTGTCATATACATTTAGAGAAATAGCATTTAATTAATATAAAACAAAATTTATGATTTCATTTCTGTATAGCTTCTGATCATTAAATTTTGACAATTGAATTCTTTTTTCTATAGGCTTATATATTCTGTATTTTCTTTTTTCAGGATTACTTAAGAAGTATACCTAATAGTTTATTGATGGAAGAGCTGTTTGACGACTGGATTGCTGCTAACTCGTACACTGATCCTATCGAGAAAAATAACAAACTCAAAGAGTGAGTATATTTAAAGGACTTAAATTATCTCATTTATTGAAGAGTTTCTTAAAATTTTCTCCCGATTGAAGAGTATATTAATTTTTCTTCTTTTTTTATTGAATGACTTTTTTCAATTTTAGATATTCTTATTGCATCTACTTGCTTAGCTTACCTGTATCTTTAAGTAAAAAGATGAATAAATATCTGTGTACTTCAGTACTTTGTTGTCAGTGTATAGGTAGTTTATTAATTTAATTTCTTTTCCATGTATTTTAGCACATTGACAAAGCTGCCAGACGCACATTATGAATTGTTACGCCACCTCATGTGTGTTCTGTACCATATTGATAAGAAATCAGAAGAGAACAAGATGACCGCATATAATTTATCCGTGTGTATAGCACCGAGTCTGTTGTGGCCGAAAGGAAATAACGACCCACTCGCAACACCACCTGCTTTAATACAACACATGATCGAGAATTGTGCTCAGGTGTTCGGAACAGAGGCCATTCTTCTTTTCGGTGATGTTGTCGAGCAGAAAATCCGCCAGGATTCTAGCACAGATTCAGATAGCATGCATAGTGTACTCAGTGGTAAGTAAAAGTTTCTTAAGAAAGTTATATTTCATTTCTTCATGTTTTTGTTTAGTATGAATATACACAGTTTTATTTTTCATTCATTTCGATAAAATGTTCTTTTCAGTCAAATCTTCCTGAGTCATACAAAATGATTAATGTGAGACAATTCTTTTCTATTACTTAATATTGTTTAAATGAATTTAAATTTCTAAAGTGTCATAGGTTTTCTTCATATTTTCTTATCATTTCCTTTCATTTTTCAGGTAATTTCCGTCGTGACGATTCTTCTATAGACAGTCTGGACCGAGAGATCTTGTACTCCAGGGATATGGACCATGGTTCCCACATGGCTAAGTCTAATTTCTCTCCCGCAAATCTAAGTGGAGATTCAGGATTGATCAGTGATTCTCAGTATTATGATGAAGACGGCAATGGAAATGACATAGTTCGTCCATACCTGCGCAGCACATCATTTATTCATCCAGAGGCATTACGCGAGGACATTGAGCGTGCCAGTCAGAGTTTAGACAGTCAATTCTTTTATGGATATGTTCCTCAGAACCCAGTACCTCCACCAAGACATACACGTAGAAAAGGTTCAGATCAAAGCGGCAGTCCAAATACGGAATTTGAAAGAAAACCTTTACGATATTCGTCTGAATCAAACTTTCATGTGCCAAATAGATACAATAGGCGCTATAATCAAAATATGGCTGAAAAGTTGAAGCGACGATCAACAGAATCATTGAAAAGTGTTGAAGAAAGTTCTGAAGCAGACTCTGAAATGATCATGCAAGGTTACAGGAGACCAGACATTGGTACCCTAGTTAAATCTGCAAGTGGTGCTCATTTATATTTCGAGGAACCAAGTTTGATGGAATTTGACGATATTAACACTGTGAAAAATCGTAGGCATTTATACAAACAATCAAGTGAAGGTAATTTGCCTATGTCGCCACAATCAAAATACTCATTGGGTAGTTCGCGGGATAGCGTTCTCTCAGACTCCTCTGGATCCTTCCTCAATCGTCAAAATAGTCCCGATCCCCTTTCTTCCTCAGTGGAAACCCCAGAACAGGAGGAATGTGCGATGTCAGCATGGCTAAATCAGCAATCAAAACATACAGCATATGCTGTTGAATTTCAAAAACAGAAAAGCCATGATGATAGTGAAATAGGTATGAAAATTGACAGAAAGCCTATGAATAAAATGAATTACCTTGTTTCACCGAAATCATCTCCAAAAACATCGCCTAAACTGAGAAGACGTTCACCGATACCTGTCAGTAATAGAAGGTCTTTCCCATTAAATGCAGAAATTTCCCCGAAAGGCTCCGGTTCAAACACATCAAAAGAAGCTGAAGACATCATTAAGTCACCAAAGTTGTCGGTAACTTACTGTTCACAAGATTCTTTAGATAGACGCGATTTTGATGCTGTGAAGGACAAAAACAATCCACCTCATTTAGACATTTACAATAATAATGCTCAGGTGGCAATGAAACAGTTAAATATCTACTCAAGTGGGCTACAGGGAACATCTCCTCCACCACGTGTTGTGCTTCAGGGTTTGAACACACAGTCTCAAACCCTAAGACGTGAAAACACTCCTGTGAAAGGCAATCATGAAATTTTACCTCAAGCACGTAGCAATAGTTTCGATATAGCACAGTACGCTGAACATAAGAAATATCCTATGGAAGAGAATTCAGTATCTAGCGAGGATCAAAATGATTCCGATTCTGACACTGAGGTTGGAACAACACGTGTTATGACAATGATGACCATTCCTATGTCATTTGATATTCCTCAGAAGATTCTTGTAGACAATAAAAGTTCTAGTTCTGATTCAATCTCAAGAAGTTCAAGTCAGTCTGAGGAGTTGGGTACAGTCCGACCAGAAAATCCACCAACCTACGATGAAGCCGTGCAGCGTAGCAATCTACTTAAACAGGGATTGTCACCAGAAGAGTATGATGTGGAATCAGTGAAACAGGCTAGTTTGAAAGCTAAACAATTATATGAACAGTCAATGAGGCAGTATCAAGAACAATCTGGTAGATTCTCTTCACCATCACAAAAGTTTGATAAACAATTTGATATTCACGAAGAGCATATAAGTGAAGAGACCGGATCTATAACCGACTCTAGCGAGGATGAAGAGCCGAGATATGATCCACGTAAGTTTTATGAGGAATCTCTGAAGCGCTACCTAGAGGAACAATCAAGTCGATCTCCTTTAGTAAAAATGTCGTCTGCTGACAAAGATATTTCATTTTCGAACAGTAAAGGAGGTAGACTTGGTGTGAATAATACATTATCACCACAAACTTCACATTTACAAAGAAGTAGTAGTGATGTTTGTGATCTAGATCGGAGAAGAAGTCCTCGGGTGCTCAGTCGTGAAACTACCCCAACAAGGCGACCTGAACAACCTCCACCCTACAATGACCCACCTCCATACCATAGTGAACGCACTGATTCTAGTCCAAATAGTGCAAAGAGACACTTGTTCCCAACAGCAGGAGAAGCAATGAACAAAACTCCTACGCAAAAATGTGTTAGTACAAATCCAAATTCAGTGCCTGCAATTTCATCAGGAAATAGTTATACTGTTGATAGCTCAAATGAAAATGCTCAGTTTGCATCTGTTCCAAAACGAAGAGACAATATTCTCGTGTCGAATAGAGCAAGAACGTCTGCAGTGTCTGCTCAAAATCCCGAAGGAAATAGTTCTAACACTAATAATCATAAAAGTGAAATTACTGATTATTCAATTCATAGTGCTCAAAGTGAAATAGGACGATATCAGTCGCCAGTTTCTAACGTAAGAAGTAGAGACTCTCCAGTTGGTTCATATAATTCAAAGTCAAACAATGTTTCTAATATTGATAAGTCTCAGTCGAACAATGTGTTCAGGTCACGTGCTTCATCTTTAGAACCAAAACAACCTCAATCAGAACTTGCCCATCCAAGAACGTCATCTCAAGGCCCCATTTCTTACAGAAATCCTAAAATCTCAGCAGGAAATGTGAAATCTCGGCCACAGTCGACTATTGAACCAACTTGCCATAAATCACTAGACACTTCAGTTAACAGGCATTCTATGAATGTTCAGAAAGAGCTTCCATGGAGTGTGAAAAGATTAAGTAACATTTTTGACGCAACCTCTACGAACAGTAACAATTCAGTTACCTCACATTCACAATCCTCGTCACCTGTGCCTACTTCCTCATCATCATCAATGACATCATCACGTGTTCCAGCAACTTACACACCACCACCGACGTTTCAACGTTATAGCGACAATAATCGGTCAAGCACATCCAGCAATAGTAGCATTGGTAGTGCCAATCGAGGAAAACCAACGTCTAAATCTTTTAACAAATATGGCCCCCAGGCCAGAGACTCTTTCAGTTCTACCGACGGTTCTGACTGCTCGTGTAGATATTCTTTGAATTGTCGTCGTGACAACAGTAGTCTTGAAGAACTTACCGATGTTAGTTTCACTGATATCACTTACGTTTAGGCAGAACAAGAAATAATGTTTTAAAAAAACGATTGTGTTCATATATTTTTACTGTATTAAACTGCCCTAAGTTTTCATTTTAAATCGGATTTCATTAAAATAACATTTCTAAACTGAAGGTTGAATAATAGACATTGTTGTTATATATAGTGTATATTGAAAGAGGGAAAATAATTACAAAAGGTTAATATATAAAAATTAAGTTTTATCTACGGAACAAACGTGTAGTTTGTGTAAAATACTCAAATTTATAAAACCATATTACCTCTTTGTGTAAATGTTTCATTTTTTATCAGCCCATATTTTAAAAATGTTCAGCAGACAATCAGCACTGTGCGAGTTCCACAAATAGGTATTACACTTCTAAATGTTTGCTAAAATGATAGCAACACTCTTTGACGGAATTTGCCAAAGTCTGATCTAGTTCTGCATGTCTTTTTAAATTTTTAGAAATAATAAGGAAACATTTTTGTCTATACTTTCTGTTCAGAACTAATAACTAAAAAATGTGCATCCCGAAAAAGGTTTTAGAACAAATTGTGTTCATTTCTGTGGTGAAATACATGTTAAAACATAAAGAAATGTATTTTAAGGATACGTTGTTAAATATTTTCTTTGTTTTACCTGGCGATTTCTGATTGTAAAAAATATGTACATGTATGTAAATTGTAATATATAACTGACTGTGATACAAATATATGTGTATTGTATGTATTATATATGTATATGTGTTATTTTCTTTTGTGGTACAATAAGCAATTACGTCTGAAAATAATTTCTCCTAGAATTTTTTTTGTTAATCAAGAAACATACAATATTTAAACAAAAATTTCAAAGCACAGAATTTTTTATACGAAGTTGATACTTCTTTATGGGAAAGTAAAAAAATGGTTATTTTCTTTTTTAAGTATTTCTATTGAGCAATTTTCGATCAAAAATAGTTTTACCAAGGTTAAAGTTCATTTGTTTAATATCAAAAATAGAAAATATCAATTGTAAGTTTTGTAAAGATAATATATTGATATACAATTACATATATATTATATTTCACCACATGATATTTTAGCGATTTATACTTTTCGTATGTTTTTTTTATATGTTTTTATAAGAAAACTGTTTAAAATCAGACGATATTAGTAACTCAGGATGTTTGTGTATATAAAAGTTGATTACAAAAAGCATACACATATATTTATATGAAAACAAATTATCATTATTAAGTATGATATGACAATAGTGCTTATTTCATTATAAAGTTATAAATTAAAAAAATATGTTCTATATTTCCTTGTTTTCTTGTTTATCACAAGTTTCTCCTCGGAACTGTAAGACAACAGCCTCTTCCCTGGCATCTGTATGATATGGGACCAGGCTACACTATTAGCCAATAAATGCAATAAACAGTCTATGCAGTATAGTATTTCGAACCTGCTCTGTCTGTAAGTAAGGTATGTAGAGAGCATCCGATTTGTAATTCAAGGGTTGCTGGCTTGATCCTCGGGCTAGAAAAAAAAAATTCTCTGTCACAAGTAATATTGAACATTGAGTATAGTTTTCATTTGTCTCTTCTTACCACTGATAAAGACATTGTGGGATAAGTAGTTTGTCAGTTGTGGAGAAATTGGTTTCAACTGGTTAGTTAGCCAGGAAAATCAAGTGAGGTGGAACGACTGCCAATATATGACCAAAAATGGAAACGTAACAAATAGAAAGCAGGGCAAGCAAGATTTGTATACCAATGGAGCAGTGAAAGGATAAGATAAATCTTCCTCTAGTACAACTGTAAAACTCGATTGCTTACTTTGGCTTAGAAACTTCTAGTGGTATGCCATACGGTAACACTGGGTTTTCCTCCACTATTACAGCTGAAAAGTACTGTTGTATACCAAGATAAAAAAAAAAAGAAGAAAAAAAAACAACATAATCCTCCAAGTTGGAGGGGTTATTAGAAAAAAATTTATCCAGCATTTTAGAATAGTAGAACTCGAGTTACTGATAGAAGAAGTTGACTAGTTTCAGAGAACTTAGATATTTCAATACCATATGATCTCAATCCCCTGGTGGTAGCAACAAATTTAGGCATTGTACGTTCGAAAACATTAGACACAGCAAAAAAAAGATTTCATTTCTTGTGTTAACTTGTATAATATTGGAAGAAGAAGCAGTCAATAGTGATGACATTCTTACCCTTAACTTGCTGAATAATATATTTGACTGGTTAATAGCTGATACTTAAGTAATACAGGATTCACTGCAAAGGTTGTTAAGTGGCTTGTGGAGGAAGACCTTGGGTGCTCCTTTTTGCATTTGTTCAGGCATGACCAGACACCTGAGTAGAACCACTAATGTAATTTGTGTTCTATAAGCTAGCTGGATAACTTCGTGAAAGAATCTTCAAGTTCCCGATGGGATCCAAGCCCCCATGGATGAAGGACAAGTGATTTGACTTTACAATTTATAATACATGTATACAATTATATATAAGGATATTCACTATCAATACACAAGACAAAAGAACAACCTCAGAAAAAAATATTTAATTTCACAGCAAATTTGATTGTAATCATGACAAAGAATTAATAGGCAAAGGGAGAGTACTGCAAAACTTTGTTTATGCAATACCACAAGATTTACTCCTCTTTGATGAATTAATATAAGATGAGTAATTTGCTGAAATAAGAACCTGTTAATCTGATTATTACACTAATACAATAATTCATCATTGTGATGATTAAGTTGATGACAAAAATTATTATATGTGAGGAAGTTTATGATTTTATTGACAAGAAAAAAACAACACAGAATAAAGTCTGAAATAATTTGCTAATCTACTAAACATGAACAAACAAGACTTTCTAACTCGATTGATCATGCATTTTTAAATACCAAAGATATTTTTAAATGGACATCAGTTCATAACATTGTACATGTAAGTCAACAGGGAAAATACAATTTTACTATCTATTACTATAAATTGGCTTTTTGAGAGAAAAAAGAAAATATGCCTACAGATATATGACTTGTAGGTTTAAATGACATTTAATTTATACGACTTAACTTTCATATGGTAAAAAATGAAATGTTCAAATATGGTGAGACAAACTTTGGTTCTATCTGTTTAATTTACTTTAAATAAATGAAAAAAACATTAGTATACGAAAACCAAGACACTTCAACTAAATTTAAACCACAATTTATCCTTAAACTTTCTCGGTACAATAAAAATCAGATATAAAAGGAATAGTTATATCTTCATCATCTGTAAATGTTTCGTCAAGCACAGCTCGTAATTTTCTCATCGCCTCCTCTTTTCTGGGAGGGTCCAGCCTCGCGATTACACTGATTGACATGAAATGATTGAGCACAAAATCTTTGTCACCCTGAAAACAAAATGCGGGTAATATTATTATTCAATGATATTCAGATTTAAAAAAAAGTTCTTAATAACAAAATGATTCATGTGGCGAAGTCACTTTTTTCACATGGGTATAATCTGGATTTAATCTATTTATTCAGTTTTGTTTAACAAACAGTAAAGTAGTAAAATGTACATATTAAACATTGATCAAAGTATTCAAATATAGGCAGAATTTAAGTGAGATAAAATTGAATTCAAAAGTGCAAAGCTCAAGTGACTTTTTCCTTGATCAAAACAACTAGCCTTTTATTTCGTCTGGTGCCATCAACTGAATCTTTACACATGCGCCAAGTGCAGACCAAGATCACTCAGCGCATTCATACCATCTAATCATGGTTTGCACTGCTTGCTATTCAACCAACAGTACATATCAAAACATGTTTCAAGATAAGTATACCTCACAGTCATGTTAATCTTTGATGTTTTTATTCACACATATAATCATTTATTTATTAACTTCAGCACAGATTGACTTACTAGTAGCAAAATCATAATTATTCGTAAGGCACTGATTTCCTTTTTTGTGGATAAGTCAATCCACGAATTTAAGATCCAGCATAATTTCATTTCATCTGCTGTAAGGTTATTTTGCATCACATTATTTACATTATACTTTTTGGAAAAATAAACAGTCCACGAACGTAAAGAACCAATGAAAATGTTCTTTGTGACCAAACAACGAAAGTTCTCATGTTAACGAAATTAAGTGAATTCCAAGTAATAAAACTTTTGATTTTTAAAATCATTTACCTTCATACCCTTAAAACCTGGTAGTATCCGACGTTCTACAAATCTAAATAATGAACAATCATCAAACACGTTAATCCATGTCTCATTCTTCTTCCGTGGTGTGTCGTCATTATAATACTGTGTTACAATATCACCTTCCATCTTCTTTACCCATTTTTCTGTCGAGTCTTTATCATTCCATACCAAACCTATAACATAATAGTTCATATAACTAAGAGGTGGGAATAAAAAAGAGGTAAAGAACAGATAAGAGGAGAACTAAGATAAAAGGAGAACTAACATAAGATAAGTAAAAAAGAGAACTAAGAAAAGAGGAGAACTAACGTAAGATGAGAACTAAGAAAAGAGGGGAACTAACGTAAGATAAGGACTTAGAAAAGAGGAGAACTAATGTAAGATAAGAACTAAGAAAAGAGGAGAACTAACATAAGATAAGAAAAAGAAAAAAGAAGAACTAACATAAGATAAGAACTAAGAAAAGAGTAGTACTAACGTAAGATAAGAACTAAGAAAAGAGGAGAACTAACGGAAGATAAGAACTAAGAAAAGAGGAGAACTAACGTAAGATAAGAACTAAGAAAAGAGGATAACTAATGTAAGATAAGAACTAAGAAAAGAAGAGAACTAACGTAAGATAAGAACTAAGAAAAAAGGAGAACTAACGTAAGATAAGAACTAAGAAAAGAGGAGAACTAACGTAAGATAAGAACTAAGAAAAGAGGAGAACTAACGTAAGATAAGAACTAAGAAAAAAGGAGAACTAACGTAAGATAAGAACGAAAAAAAGAGGAGAACTAATATAAGATAAGAACTAAGAAAAGAGGAGAACTAACGTAAGATAAGAACTAAGAAAAGAGAGGAACTAACGTAAGATAAGAACTAAGAAAAGAGGAGAACTAACGTAAGATAAGAACTAAGAAAAGAGGAGAACTAACATAAGATAAGAAAAAGAAAAAAAAGAAGAACTAACATAAGATAAGAACTAAGAAAAGAGGACAACTAACGTAATATAAGAACAAAGAAAAGATGAGAACTAATATAAGATAAGAACTAAGAAAAGAGTAGTACTAACGTAAGATAAGAACTAAGAAAAGAGGAGAACTAACGTTAGATAAGAACTAAGAAAGGAGGAGAACTAACAAAAGATAAGAACTAAGAAAACAAAAGAACTAACGTAAGATAAGAACTAAGAAAAGAGGAGAACTAACGTAAGATAAGAACTAAGAAAAGAGGAGAACTAACGTAAGATAAGAACTAAGAAAAAGGAGAACTAACGTAAGATAAGAACGAAAAAAAGAGGAGAACTAGCGTAAGATAAGAACTAAGAAAAGAGTAGTACTAACGTAAGATAAGAACTTAGAAAAGAGGAGAACTAACGTAAGATAAGAACTAAGAAAAGAGTAGTACTAACGTAAGATAAGAACTAAGAAAAGAGGAGAACTAACGTAAGATAAGAACTAAGAAAAGAGGAGAACTAGCGTAAGATAAGAACTAAGAAAAGAGTAGTACTAACGTAAGCTAAGAACTAAGAAAAGAGTAGTACTAACGTAAGATAAGAACTTAGAAAAGAGGAGAACTAACGTAAGATAAGAACTAAGAAAAGAGGAGAACTAACATAAGATAAGAACTAAGAAAAGAGTAGTACTAACATTAGATAAGAACTAAGAAAAGAGTAGTACTAACGTAAGATAAAGACTGAGAAAAGAGGAGAACTAAGATAACATCATAGCTAAGATACACCACGGATAATGCTTTGAACTAAAATTAGCTTATGCCACAAGTATAGAGTCAATTCTGTGAAAATAAAGGAAAAAGAAAGGAAAAGGAAATTTATATATTTTTCAAAACAAATACCTTGTCATTAGGTATCACAAACCAAAATTTAAAATGATTTAAAATTTTGGTTCCTGATACCTGTAAGAAAAAAAATCAAAACTTACATAATCTACCTCCAGGAACAAGAACTTTATGTATTTCCGTCAAACTTTCTTTGTTTGCAAACCAGTGAAAGCTTTGAGCACAAATAATATTCTGAAATATATAGAAGCTTATTAAAGGACTTGATTTAATAAGTTTGTTCAGAGAGTTCATTTTAATTTCCAGTTGTCCCCATACTGGTGTTTTACCCTATACAATGTATTCTAGGAAGCAAAAAATTGAACCTAGGCAACTACTAACCTCAGCTCACATAAGTTTAAAGACATACGAAGATGTAGATCTCGAGTTACCTGCATTAAATGTACCATATTTTTTTATGTTGTTTCAAATGATTTATGTTTATGCATGCATGCATTACAAAAAATGTAGCACTTGCACAAAACAATAAAGACTTTTTACGTTGCTGACTGCTGGTGAAATAATTTTATTACAGTTTAACTTCTTCAATGCAAAACCCTTTTGAAGACAAAGATTTTCATCACCTTAGTGCAGTAACGTTATAAGTTCTTCTAAATTTAATAGGAGTTAATCAGTTTTTGCACTAAGGCGTTGTTTAGAAAAAAAAACAGGAAATTATTGAAAGTTTGGTGAATATGTTATATAGCATACCTGTACTGAATTTTCGAGAAAGGGTAACTTTGTGGCTGAACAGATAAGGGAATCGACACTAGGTGAGCGCTGTTTCAATACTGATAAAAATTCTTTCAATGGCTCTGTTGCTAAATATTGTATGTTCTACAGTATAAAAACAACAATACGAAATCTCTAACAAAAAAACCAGCAAAGAAACAGTGTTCAAACACATCCTCAGACCTCCAAACTTTTATTTCTGTTTTGATGATATTTGTAAAGACAAAGTTTTTCAAAACGTTTTATAAACAGATCTATAAATCATTTATGTTTTCATTAGAATTATGCATAAAACTTGTGAACGTCATTATAAAATTTTCATTTTCAAAAATACACTGGCATTTCTCAGCAACAGTGTCTTGTAAAATTAAATATATGTTTATCATTATGAAACATTGACAGTGACTGCCGTGTTATTTGCACAAAATATTTACTTGTTTTGTATATAACTTTTGGAAATTCTGCCATTCATAAAATTGCCTAATTTGATTATGAAGTCAACTTGATGTCATAAAGTGATCATATATTTAGTATAAGTTTAAGGAAATTTCAATAACTCTTGAAAGCATTTGGAACACTGATAAATCATTAAAACTAAAGAAATTGGAAAATTTTAAGATTTTTACTGGCATATCCTTCTTTAACTGATCCAATATTTTCCTAGTAAACAATCCAGTTCCTGCACCAAGTTCTACAATATCATATCTTGTATGGAACAAACAAAAATTAATGAAAATGTTGTGGTGTTGAAAATTATGTTAATAATTGTTTCTAAAAATAGAAGTAGGCCTCTATCCCACTTCGGACCATTGTTATGGTGTTGAAAATTTAAAAGCTTTTGTTTCTATAAATAGAATTTAGTTACTTTTATTATTTATTACCTATTTAATTTTTAATGTTCTTAGTTTGCTCAGGAGTACTGTTTAATGGGATAAATCTAATCATCAGGATAACACCACCCTTTGAATGCTAAGGGAAATAAAAAAAACTTTGCATAAATTTAAAGCAATCAAATTTTTAATGAACTAAGTTTTTATTTACATTTGACTAAAAGTTACTTAAAACTAAACAAGTTGGCAAAATGTACTTTAATATAAACTGTTTTTAATGAACCAAAAATATGATAATCAAAATAAACCAGTAAATAAAAGATTTAAACCAGTTGAAAGTTGTTAAATTGTAATAACTGAAAGTATGAGAAATAACCTTAATGATTAATATGATTGTGCTGATAAACTAATAAACCTAAATAGTAGCAAGCCCTGTTTTAATCTATATTAACAAAAATAAAGATCTATTAATTTAAGATGGCTGCTACTCAAAACAAAGAAAAGATATATGAACCTTAGAGATTATCTTAATTCATTCATTCTGATAAATTTGTAAGTAATTTTAGTAATTGTTTTTTTTTTTTTTCACAGAATTTATTAAGATTAATTAATATCTTTTCTTATATATACAAATGCTTAATCTCACTAAGTTTAAAGGCCAGTGTATGTGAAAGTAGAACCATTTCTATACATAGTATATAACTACATGTATATAAAGGAACCTTAGCCCATGCTAAGTGACTGCATTAAGTTCTACAAAGTTACTAAATACAATTATAATCGACATTAAACTAGTGTATGATAAGAATGAAATGTCTGTAAAACAATACATCAAAACATGATATCATTAAACTTTAAAATAAGCTTAAATCTCAGTTAAAGTTTAAACCCTTAATATTTCTTGAAAAGTATTCCTTAAGATTATATATGTCATACTTCTTGAGTAATATTATGCAATATTATGTAATGATTATGTAAGCTGTTACAGTTGGAATCCAACTTTACAACAAAAACAATTCATGTAGTTTAATATAAAATAATCACTGTGTACAACAGTCAATACTAGTGTGCACACATAACAAAAAAATCGCTTGTCACCAGTTCTTTACTTTTAATCAAATACTTACAATAAATGAAACTTAGCAGGGCACCATAATCTATGTCTGTCACCTAAGATTCAAATGTGTCTTGAACGAGGCACACACTTTTATGTAAGGATAATTTTGTTAAAAAACAATATGTATAATGTCATTTAGATTTATATAGATTATATTTTAGTTTGATGATGTTGGAAACTGTCATCTTGTAAAAACAGTCTTAGACCAGCAAGTACTAAATTATCAGGTAAATTTTCTTGCTCAAGGAAATAATGGCCTGCCATGGTAAACACTCTGCCATGCCACCATAAGTAATGTCTGCCATAATGTCATTTGTCCTCCATTGTAATTTTACTTGAGTTATACTTTTTTTATAGTAACACTAGTATTACCCAATGTTATGCATTTCAATAAATAGGAAGGGAGATAACTTATTGCTGAACTTAATATTGATCATTACCTTTGTGGTCTCCCATGTGAAGATTTTTTACAACATGTCTACTTTTATCATAGTGGTCTCCCTGTAAGAAATAAAGTATACAAATATCAATTAAACATCTAAGGAGATGCAGTGCTTTTGACAAGGAAAGGTTTCCTTTCATATATGGAAAGTTTAAAGGAACTCCGCTGAGGTATAAAAAACTTAAAAACATCAAATATGAATTTACTTAGATCAGCCGGGACATTTAAAACAGAAAAATATGCAAAAGATGTTTAAGAAAGATACTCCTTAACTATTCATAGCCCAGTTTGAGTGAAAAGCGTTGCAAGCGTTTGGGTCATTTCTCATGATTAAACTAATTATTCTGGAAAAAAAAGAAAAACAAAAACGGAGAAAGCAAATGATATAAAACTTTACACAAAAGCTATTGGTCTATACCTACATCAAATGGAACATTATCTCACAATAATATTTCTAGTCCCGTCGTATCAAAAAACAAACACGGAGTCCCTTTAACCCATTACGGTATGAGCATTTTGTGAAAAAATGCTGTTTTCTTTGAAAAGTCTCCCGTTACAAGTTCAAATTGTTATTAAACTATAAATACTGCTTCAATACTAATCAAACTTGGCACAAATGTTGACTGGAACATTGACTTTGTAACGACATGCCCAGTCTTAAATTCCCTGTTACCATGACAACGTGAAGACAAAAATTGCCAAAATTCACTATTTTGCGTTGATTTTTTCCACCAAAATTGATTTCAAAGTGCGGATTGAGATAGACTCAAAAATTGTACGTTACCTTATGATCGATCTGTGGTCATTTTTAGCCTCTCACAAGTCAGCAAAAGGGATGGGGGGGGGGTGAAAAAGGCGTTAAATGCGTGTATATAAGGTAACAGATAATTAAGTAGCCGTCCGGTTAGCCCAATAGGTAGAGAGTTGCACTGTGAATCGGGAGACCCGGGTTCGATTCCTGGACGGCCCAGGTCACTTTCGTTGTGATTGATCATGAAATCCTTTCTACGGTCATTCGCACTGTACCTCTGCTCTGGAAGATGCGGTGGTTGAACTGTGCTCTGGTGAATTCAATGTGGCTTACTGTCGTGATCCGGAGTGGAAACTACCAAGACCACCACCTACACAGATCATTTTGGAAAATTTTATTAGTTTTTAACAATCTTTACCCAGTTGTCATTTTTAGAGTGAATATGCTTCATATGGCAAAAATTTCTATCACAATGCTTTTTTTTAATAATTATTTTGGCCAATCGCAAACTGCAGTACAAAATATTTTGTATTTAAAGGCTCATTACCAATTAAGTACGACATTTGATGTGTCGCTACTGTCTGGCTGGATATATTTGGAAAAATTCTATGTATTTTTTACAAGGATAACCATTACAGTAAATTATTCATACAAGTTTAATGACACATCGAACAGTTTTTTATGATGAAATACTCTTTATCTTGTTTGGGGTTTAAAAATCACCATGTCGTCATCACCATGCATCGTTATTTAACATTGAAAATAACAAAATTATATATTTGGTTCATTTCATGTAAAAATGTTTAGTTTCAAAAGGCATATGTGCCATCTTACAAAAAAATTAACATTTTCCTTTACTACCCATGGAATGTAAAAAATCGTACTATTGTGTAGGCTATGTTTCCAAAATTAATAAAACGTACGGGACAATGTCATGGTTATAACGTTTCTGTCAGGCAAATATATGTAATTGCCCATGTTTAAAGTTTCTGTTTCGTTATAAGTTGTTTTGCAATGATTATTTCATTATTTTCTTAATTCAACGGCTGAAATACAGTATAATTATACTTTCGTTTGTTAAAGTAGTTTTATTTAACGTACGGGACATAAATGAAAATGTTTGAAATATCTAAATTTTTGGTTTTTTTGTTAAGTTTAGCTAGCAAACAGTATGTTTAAAAGTGTTGTTTATCAAACGTTTGGTGATAGAAGTTCTTGTTCTTTTGTTATGTTTTATATATGATGTGTATAAAATAAAATATCATACTGTATTACATGAGAAAGTTTACAAATTGTGTACACAACTTCATAACACAAGTTTGTTTACTGTCAAGGATAATGTTTCTTGGTCTTATCGAAAAGGTAAGCATAACAATTGTTACAACCTGAATTGTAATAAACACGGAATTGTAATAAAATTATTACAAAACTGGTTAGGATGCCAAAATATTATTACATTTAGGTTGTCAACCTAATAAAACCCGAAAATGTAATAAACGGTCAAATCTCAAGACAATGTGTTAACAAAAGTCTCGGTCACTATGGAGAGAGTAATCGCCCTTGATTATGGCGGCACAATTTTTTCTCGAGTTTCTATAAATCTTGATATTTTGGATTTAACCTAAGTTTTATGGGCTCATTTTGATAGAAGTGTGGTTTTCTGAACTGCGAAGGGTAATAGTTCTACTCTGAGAGGGGATATTGGTTCAATTGGCCATCAATTTACCCGCTGGATCTGTGAGATTGGAAAATCCTTTGTTCTTTGAAATTGTGTTGTTGGTCAAGATGGCGGACTCAGAAGAAAACCTAATGTCGAGGCCATTATCTGTGCATTTTTCTACAAAATTCATAAATCGAATATCACACGATGAAGTGTTATCTTCAATAACAACATTTATTGATAAAAAGGATATTAAATCAATACAAATAACAGAAAGTGAATGTATTATCACATTGAGTTCAGCAGAAATCAAAAACAAGGTCATTTTGCATGGATTGAGAATTCAAAACCGTTATATTTACATAACAGACGTTGACAAAATCATCACAAGTGTAACCGTTAAAGATGCACCGTATGAAATGCCCGATTGTGTTTTGATGCAAGTACTGTCTCAATTCGGAGAAGTAATCGAAAATAGTATTTCACATGGAAAAATCAAGGGCACGGACATTGAGAACGGCTCAAGATATCTAATCAAAGGGCTGCAAGCTCTGTGGTATTTTCTGATCTTTGCAATCTAAATCATACTGACTATCTGTATGCACAGACACTTGGGGTTTGGAGCTCAAAACGCCTTTAAAATCCAAATAAAATGCATATTTGTCAATCCCAGCACATGTACTGATCATATATATCAAAAAAACTTAATATTAGCCGTTTTGAAAAAAAATCATATTTCAACATCTATAATAATACACAAGATAAAAATGTTCGCCGGAAAAAATCCGCACCCCTACCGTCATAATCACCATGTATTTTATTCCATTTCCAATATTTTCACATAATCCTTTGGTCCATCGACACAGAAGATATAATTCTTCACGATGATGGTCAATTTTAAACTTCAACGGTAATATAAATAACGCAACAGCCGAAATAAACATCAATATTATCGCCGTTTTTTCCAACTACAAAATCTTTCGATAAATTCAATGGACCAGAAGCTATCCGATTATGTGGTTCCCAAACTTAAAAGCGCTGCGCATTTTGCACACGGCAAAGCTGGGGCCACATAATCGGATAGCTTCGTTCATAGCCGTCTGGTCCATTGAATTTATCGAAACTTCAAAAAAATAGTTGCCTCGACTAGGATTTGAACCTTAGGCCTCTCACACCCTAAACGAGCGCGATACGAGCGCGATACCCCTGCACCACGGTGAAGTAATACGTAATATGTAGTCTGAATAAAAACAAATACATTGTAATTCTAAATTGAGAATTTCCATTTCGTGTTTGTAATCCTTATCAATTTCGAGTTATTTTGTTCACGATAAACCTGTTTAACACTGATAAAAATAATTTAGCGAAAATCTTCTCGCCAAAACAGTCTGACATGTATATATTCCACTACTCGGCAGTCAGATTTATTTGTGTACTACGCCCTGGAGTATTCAGTAATCGACATAGCTAAAAATAGCATTTTCTTTGATTAAAATGATATTCATCCGCGAAATTTGTGATTGTAACCTCATATTTCTATTGACTAATCTGAACTTTCAATGCACTTTATTTTGTCTTTTAAATTGCTGGTTTTTAAGCAGTTTTGAGTGAGTACTAATTTGCGTTGTTAGGTCTGTTAGGAAATTTTGTGTTAGACCGTGGATGTTAGCTATGTATTTACTGATCTTGCGATCAGAAAATACAAAAATCTTAAATTGTGTTCCGTTACTACCACACAAACTAGATATCGGTAGATTTACCGTAAGACTATTCGCTGACAACAACAGAACCAAATGTAAACATTGTGGCGCTACAACTCATCCGTACTTTAAATGTCAAAACAAGCCTGATAGGCGACACAATCCTCCTCAAATTGAAAATCAACGAAATAAACTGTGCTACAATTGTAAAAGAAATGATCATCAAAGAAAGGACTGTCCGTTCGAAATCATTTGTAGATTTTGCAATGAGGAAGGTCATTCGCAAAATGACTGTCCTAAGGAGAATCATGGATGAGTGGATGAGAACCCGTGGCTTTCAACAATCTCACAAACAGACACTCAAGTTTTAACATCTGACAGCTCGGACGACGAAACTCCAAAATCTCCATCCCTATTGGATATTCCAACTTCTTGTAAAGATACATCTTCAAAACCTGATTTGAGGAATACATCTTTCTACATTATTGGGGACTCAAACACAAAAAAACTTAATATAACTGAAGAAAATATTCAAAATAAATCTGTACCAGGATTATCATTAAACAACTGTGAAGACGTGATTGACTCAGTCAAAGACAATAATGTAAGTCGGTTGATAATCCATCTTGGAACAAATGATATCGGTAGGAACGTAAAAAATGATGTTGTACAAAAAGCAAAAAATGCACTAACTGTGGCCAATAAAAAGTGGCCAACTTGTCCAATTGCGTTCTCTAGCATCATTCCGAGAATGGGGAATAGCGCTGCAGTCAAGCGTATCAATTCTGATGCAAAATTTGTAAATCAAAAAATTTTACAGTTTTGTCAAGGTAATGGATATCACTTTTTGGACAATGACAATATTTTCAAAGAAAACAATAAGATAGTCCCATCTCTGTATGATGATAGTGATCCTACGGGTATTCATATTTCAAAATGTGGTGCAGACCAATTGTACATCAGTATGACTGCGTTTTTCATTAATGGAAAAACAGATCAGAGTGGCACACTTTAAACAGTACACTCACAAAAAGACCCAGTCATAATGATTAATGGTGATACAGATAATATTTCTTGTTTGATATTATTTTGAAAATATCATGGATTTATTTTATTTAAAAAAATCATATTTTTTACTATGTCATTATAACATCGCATCTATTAATGTAAACGGGTTAAGAGATAACAAGAAGAGATCTCTGATATTCAATGGTTGAAAATGAAAAAAAATTGATATTATTTTTTTACAAGAAACGCATTGCAAAAATGATAACGAATCTAAGATATGAGGAACTCAATGGGTTGGCGACTTTTACTGGTGTAATAATAACAACGGAATCCGAGGCGTAGCGATCTTGATAAAACCGTTATTTATCAATAACCCGTAAAAAACATTGGAAAAGATGACGGTCGATACATCTCGCAAAATTGAGAAAGTTTACCGCTTAACGAATGTGTACGCCCCGAAACAATGGAACGGAAGCGCAAAGATTTTTTTAACTCACTTTTTCGAATAAGTTAATGGATTTAACTGAAACGCATATAATTGGCGGGGATTTCAATTGTTGTTTAAAACTCTAAAACTAGATAGAAAATATTGCGGTAATAATAGATATGATAAAGCAGACGATGGTCTAAATGACTTATTACAAATGATTCGTGAGTTAGATGTGGAAGACATTTGGCGAAAACGCTTCCCTGACATTAAGCAATAATACTTTTATGCGAAAAACGAGTCCAAATCAAGGATCGACTATTTTTTTCTTTACTTCAAAAAATAATTGATAGCGAAATATCAGTCCAAAAATACATACACATTTTATACATTCAGATCATGATCTTGTTTCGTTGACTTTAAAATTCGATAATGTTCAAAGGGTCCGGGTCTCTGGAAACTGAATGCAAGTATTTTAAAAGATATTGAAATTACGTTCAGCTCGTAGAAACATTTTGGAAAGATTGGTCAAAAACATAAAGCTAAATTTTTAACTCAAAACGCGAGTGGTGGGATATGACAAAACATAAAATTAAAACGCTTTCAATTGAATATACAACACACATTTCAAAACCACAAAGACGAATTAAAGTAATAGAAGAAAAAATCACAAAGCTTAAAGAAACCAATTCAGCCGAGGCCCAAACTGAAATCAAAATGTTATTCAGAGGAATTGACTTTCTATTATTCAGAAAGAGCTCGAAGCACTCAAAATAGATCAAAAGCCAAACACATTGCTGAAAATGAAACCTCTTCGAAGTATTTTCTTCGACTTAGAAAAAAAGAGGGGCAAGCAAAATTATGGACGCAAATAAAAGTCCGAATCTGGAAAACTTAAAAGCGACATAAATTCAATTTTAAAAGAACGTGTGCATTCTACAAGAAATTT